CATATGCTGTTTGTATAGCTATTCAAGTAACTGTTGGAGAGGATGGACTAATACTACTGCTGGAATCAAATTGCAAAATATTTATATTCAAACATATTCAGAAATAAAGGGAAGGTGATTTATAAACAACTGGGGGTTTGACTCATAGGCCTACCTTGCACATGTATATCATGTATTAAATTCTGGATTCTTTCCTTCATATTGCAAAGAACAAAACAAAATAGTTTTCTGTTGTGTAAAATTATGACATGTATCTTCTTTCATTGGAACCCAAAGTGTTGAGTATTATAAAAAAGTTTAGCTTAGTGTAAGATTTTTTTTTTTTGGGTGAATCAGTATGATGATGTAGTTAGGCCTTCTCAATTTCATATGAGGTTTATATTACAAATGTGACAAAATATTAGAGGAATTGATAATTATTTGTGGTCATGATTTGTTATTTACTGTCACAGCTGTAGGAGTCAAATATAATGATTTAGAAAATTTGGGATTATCTATCAGTTGTGTCGCAGGAGTTCATGATCAGGAAAACAAAAACAAAGCAAGAGGGGCCGGAGCAATAGTTCAGCGGGTTGGGCATTTGCCTTGTACCTGGTCAGGACCAGGAGGAAGCCTTGAGCATTGCTGGGTGTAGCCCCTAAAAGCCAATAAATAAAATTAAAAAAAAAGCAAGATACCTTGTCAGGTCAGTGTGTGTGTGTGTGTGTGTGCACATATGTGTGTGTTAATGTGCGTAAAGTAAAAGTCTTTTATAGAGAAATATAGGAGGAGAAAGAGAGAATGATAATAATAGGAACAACAAAACACTTAGATTGTGGGCTGTGATGTGAGCGACAGTCAAGGCTCCTTGGGACAGTTTTATTAGCTGTTTTTGTCTCTTTGTTTTTGTTTCTTGGCTTGGCAGGAAGGGCGTTGAGAAGGTTCAGAATGTGGTTAAAAAGCACTGGGGATGTGGGTTAGGTGGTAGAGCACTTGCCTTGCCTGTGTGAGGCCCTAGACAAAACGAAAACATCAAAAAACAAACAGAATGTGGTGCAAACCTGCCTGAACATGGACTTAACTAGTTTTCTTGTGTTTCTATAAAGAGTTAATACCAGCAGTTTTGGAGAGCGATGCATTCATATTTGTTCATCCATCATTCTGATGCTCTGGTTACATTATTTTGGTACATCCTTCCAGATTAGTTTATGCATTCGACTCTATTGTTTCTGCCTCTTTTTTTAAAACAGAATAACTTTGTTAGTCATTTTATGTTTGCATGTCAAGAACTTATTTTTTCAATGTGTGTTTTAATTTTTACTGTTTTTGGCATATGAATACATAATTGGGTAGCTTGCCGGGTTCTCCGAGAGGGATGGAGGAATCGAACCTGGGTTGGCTGCATGCAAGTCAAACGCCCTACCTGCTGTACTATGCTAAAAACAGTAACAACAGTTTTGAGGCTTGGGATTTACTCCTGGCTTTGCACTCAGGGATCCCTTCTGCTAGGACTCGGGATCATATGTGGTGCAGGGATCAAATCTGACTTGCCCACATGCAAGGCAATCCCCCTAACATGTTTTCCTTTTGATGCTTCACAAACCACAAACTTGAAACATTACATTTTAGTGTTGTTTTATGGGGGGGGGTGGGTAGGTTTGAGCCCAAACAGTTCTCAGGGGACCCTCTCCTGGTAACACTTGGCCAACTCCACTGGGTGGCTCATTCCCTGTAAGGTCCTTGCCAGTGCTGGGTCCATCTGTAATGCTCAGGGAATCCCAGGTCCTGGGCATTAGCAGAACCTATTGCAATCTTCATTCTTGATCCCACTGCTGTTTCCCTAGCCCTGTGTCTTTGGAGTAAGGTTTATCATCTTCTGATTTTTTTTAAGCTGTTATGTATTTTTTTCTGTAAACTAGGATTTGTTCCCCTTCCTTTATTTCTAGTTGTTTGTTGGAACGCTTTTTGGACAGGCCAGATTTTTAGTGGGTTTTGAATTTAACAAAAACTTATGTTGGAATAGAAGGTGCCTCATTTCTAATTGAATATAAACATTCTAATATTCTTGGGAGCTGGAGAAGATAGTTTTATATTGAATAGCATGTCTACTTAAGTTTCTCTCTCAGGCCAGCATAACTTTTAGGCCAGCATAATTTTTGGAGTGGCACTTTGGAGGAATTCACTGAGATGACATGGTTTTCTAAGTAAATATATTTCTGATACTAGTTGAGGGATGGTGAATAGCACATTCATTTTCTACATTTTATTTATTGACAGGGCTAGAGTGAGAGCACAGCGGGAAGGGCGTTTGCCTTGTACGCTGCCAACCTGGCTGGCCCGAGTTCGATTCCTCTGCCCCTCTCGGAGAGCCCGGCAAGCTACCGAGAGTATCTCGCTCGCACGACAAAGCCTGGCAAGCTACCTGTGGCGTATTCGATATGCCAAACACAGTAACAAGTCTCACAATGTTACTGGGCCTGCTCGAGCAAATCGATGAACAATGGGAGGACAGTGACAGTGATTTATTGACGGGCATATGAAACAAGTTTTAAAATCTCTTCTACATTAAAATCTTATTGTATCAAACATCCATGATGTTGGGGCTGGAGCTATAGCACGGTGGGTAGGATGTTTGCCTTGCACACAGCCGACCTGGGTTTAATTCCCAGCATCCCATATGGTCCCTTGAGCACTGCCAGGAGTAATTCCTGAGTGAAGAGCCCTGTGCATCGCTGGGAGTGACCCAAAAGCAAAAAAAATAAAATTCATGATGTTTATCAATCATATAGATACCACAATTTTTTGTTAAGAAAAGTTGCATCTAATGAAAGTGAGTCAGAATAGTTTGAAGTTTATAAACTCATATGGCTTGGATACGTATTCATTTTACTAAAGTTCTTAATTTTCCAAAATCTAAGTCTTCAGTCTACTTGCTTAGCATAGTAGAGCCAGTTCATTAAATGGCAGGACCAAATAGAATCTTTATAGGCTGGCAGATGAAAGTGCTAACCATTACAATGGACACTAGCATAAATAGTGGCCTATCTCAGGGAAATAACCAAAGTGAAGTAAATATAATTGAGGCATATCTATGTGAAGTCTCTGGAGGGAAAAATAAAGTCATATTTAGAAAAACAACCGCTACCACAAATCAAACCCTCAAACAGGCACATGATTCTAGTCCACACCTCATTCTAAACTGAGGACCATTGAGGGGAATATCTTTTTTTCCCAATATGAAAAGTAAACAGTAAAATCGGGGCCTAGCTGCATAGTTGAAGACAGCAGAATAGTAGTGTAATTTAACGTATTATCTGCAGACAGTTTTTTTATTTTGCTTTTTGGGTCACACCCAGCGATGCACAGGGGTTACTCCTGGCCCTTCACTCAGGAATTACTCCTGGCGGTGCTCGGGGGACCATATGGGGTTCTGGAAATCGAACCCGGGTTGGCCACATGCAAGGCAAACGCTCTACCCGCTGTGCTATCGCTCCAGCCCCAGACAGTTTTTCTTAAGAGATTATTGTGACACACTAATTCTTCAATTACATTTTCTTTTCTTTTTCTTTTGGTGGGTTGTGGGTACCCAGGGCTTTTATTTCTGAATCTCTTATAAAGGAATTTCTGGTGGGGACCGGTAATTGAACCCAGGCCCTCTCCCTGCAAGGTGAGCACTCTACTCATTTAGCTACAGCCCTTTAATTGCATTTTTAATAAACAATGTGTCCAACCTTTGTAATTAATTTTTATTTCCTTGTATTGCATTTTAAATTTATGAACCTTTTGTGTTTTTTGTTTGTTTGAACCTTACCTGGTGGTACTCAGGGCTTATTTCTGGCTCTGCATGCAGAGGTCAGAGGTTATTCTTAGCAGGACACAGGAGACCATGTATGATGCTGGGTTGAGCCAGAGCTGCATGCCTGAACTTTATTTTCAATCTGTGGTTCAGAGTTCTTCAGTTTTGCCTTTCTTTACATTTAAAAAAAAATGTGGCCAGTGATTGAAAAAAAAAAAAATTAGAAGATGTTCCTTTGGGGCTGGAGAGATAGGGCCATGCATGCGGTCAACCTGAGTTCAATTCCTGGATACCCCATATGATTCCCTGAGCACTGCCATGGAGTGTCCCTGGGGCCATTCCCGGTGGTACCCCTAAGTACCACTGGGGGTGGCCCCCCAAACAAAACAAACAAAAAAGATGTTTCTTTAAAGGCCAGGGCTATAACTCGTGGTAGAGTACATGCTTCATGTTTGAAGTCCTTTGTTCAGTTTCCAGCACCACTAAAAATAGTCCTTTACAACAGAGATGGTCTGAGAAACTTTACAAGTTGTATCTTAGTCTCTATTAATTCCTGGTTATAAAACTCATTTAAGCTTTATTACATAGCATTTCATTAAATAACTTAAAATTAAATAACAGCTTAATAAGCTGTTACACTGAAACATTTACATGTTTCCAGAAACCAGGAAAATTATCACAAAGGAATGCTGATGCTAATTAAATAAGAATTCACTAAGTGTCTGTCTGGGGGCCAGGAATGTAGCTCAGTAGTAGAGAACTTGCTTGCATTAAACTTACCCAGTGTCATATGTAATTATATCTCAAGGCTAGAAAAAAGTAGTAAGAAACAATATAGGCTTTATATGAAAGTTCAGTAATGGCCAGCATGCCATCACTGTAATTCTAGAATCCCAGAGATTATTAGCATTTGGTTAGAAGGGAGTAGAAATATATTTAAATTGAGGGTTTTTTTTTTTTAAAAAAATGTAGATATGTAGATATAAGAAAGATAGAGTATCTTTGGACTCATTATGAAGTCTTTTTGCAGCAGTTCTTTGTTTATTTGAGTGTAAGTAAGCACTGTCAGTGGACGGAGAGATTTAAATTTTAACTTTTTTCATATCACATTGCTCAATTAAATAACTTTAAAATCAGATTTTTGAACTTAATCTTTTTGTGAACTTACATGTCATGTGTGTTAGTGGAAAAAAAATGCATACAATCTTTGCCTGTTTTCCTTTAGGGTAATTCCTCCTGCAGTTACTTTTGGATGGAAGTATGCTCTTTTCCCAATAGAAGATGGTAATCTTGGAGAATGACCATGGAGAAGGGGATGAGTTCTGGAGAAGGGCTGCCATCCAGATCATCTCAGATTTCGGCTGTTAAAATAACAGCCAAGGACTTGGAAGCAAACCAGTCACATAAAGAGAAGCGAGGGGGCTTTGTGTTGGTGCATGCAGGTAAGCTTTGAGCGAGTTTATTGGAAGACGAAAATAATGACTATTTTTTTTGTATGTTAAAGTACACTGAATTAAATTTCACATCTGGCAGATGCAAAGGCAGAGAGGAGTTATAACCAAACAGATTAGCTTCACAGACTGAAGTTGCCTACTGAACTCCTGATCCATTCAAAGGTCTTATATTTGATTTTTGTTTTGTTTTCTTTTGGGATCACTTCCAGTGGTTCTTGAGGACTGCTTAGGAGTAGCTCCTAGCAGTGCTCAGTGGGTTCAGGGATCAAACCCAGGGTCTCCAGATGAGAAGCCTGGGCTCCAACACATTGAACTATCTCCTCATCCTGAAAGATTTTATATGGAGAACTCTTCCTATGTTATCTTCATTACTTTCCCTCAATATTTACCTTTATCTCATATATCTTATTTCATATAATAGATTTAGTATTAAAACCAAAGTAATTTTTCTTTTTTTAGAACTCTGATTTGTATTTTTAGAAGTTATGCTGCTGTTTAGGTGGAATATAGATCTGTGAGTGTGTGTGTATATATATATGTGTGTATATATGTATATATACATATATATATATATATATATAGCGCCATGTATTTAAGACACTGTATGAAGTATATAGTAGAGGCATCTGAGTATTTGTTTTAGGTGAATCTGACATGTGGCCTCCCTTCTTGAGCTTTCTGTTGGATTGTCTTCTGGCCTACCCCTTGGGCTTGGGGCAGCAACCCCAGCACAGTTCCTGTTTAGTATGTGCTCAGAGGTTTGTTGGTGTAAACCCATCTCCTGCCAGCCTATGACAATTTGAAAGTTGAGTGAGTCTTCCCGTCATTTTTTTTCTTTTCAATTTTTATTTATTTATTTATTTATTGAATCATCATGAGATACAATTACAAAGCTTTTATGTTTGAGTTCTAGTCATACAATGATTGAACACCCGCCCCTCCACCAGTACACATTTTTCACCACCTATGTCCCCAGTATCCCCCCACCCGTTCCCATACAACCTGTCCCCCTGCATCTGTGACAATTTCCCTATTTTTCTCTACTTTTGGTCTTCCCATAATTTTAGTATTGGCAGAGGTAATGAAGCTCTCTCTGTTGGGAACACAATGCTACTGAAAAAACATTAGCACTGTAATACTGTCCTCCCATTGTTCATCGATTTGCTCGAGCAGGTCCAGTAACGTCTCCATTTGGCATATGAAATACGTCACGGGTAGCTTGCCAGGCTTTGCCATGTGGGCGAGATACTCTCGGTAGCTTTTCACCCTTCTCGGAGAAATCGAACCCAGCTCCGCCAAGCTGAGCCTACCATGAGCAAGCAAACGCCCTTCCACTGTGCTATCACTCCAGCCCATTGAAAAAGCATGTTTATGTAAATTTCATGACTTCATCTTTTCTGACAGCTACATAGTGCTCCATTGTGTAGATGTACCAAAGTTTCTTTAACCAGTCATCTCATGGAAAGTATCATGCTAAGCGAAATGAGTCAGAAACAGAGGGACAGACATAGAAAGATTGCATTCATCTGGGGAACATAAAGGAACAAAGTAGGAGACCCAAGAATAGCCGAAATTAGTACCAGGAATTTTACTCCACGGCTTGGAGGCCAGCCTCACATGCTAGGGGAAAAGGCAGCTCAGATAGAGAAGGGAGCACCAAATAAAGGGTGTTAGGAGGATCCTCTCAGGATGGGAGATACATGCTGCAAGTAGACTATAGTCTGAATGTGATTTCCAATCAGTGCCTCAAGTAGACTATAGACTGAACATGATTTCCACTCAATGCCTCTTTTGCAAACCACAACACCCAAAAGGAGAGAGAGAACAAAAGTGAATGCCCTGCCACAGAGGCAGGGTAGGATGGGGGGAAAAGGGGGGTGGAGGGATACTGGGATCAGTGGTGGTGGAAAATGGGCACTGGTGGAGGTATGGGTACTCGAACATTGTATAATTGAAACCCAAGCACAAAAATTTTTAAGTCTACAACTGTACCTCATGGTGTTTCACTAATAAAAATTAAAAAAAAAGAAAAAACATTATTGATGCCTTTATTTGAATAGACCCATATTAGGATCTAACTAAGATTATAATCAGTGAGCTAGATTGCTTTTTTATTTGGTGGGGGTGTGTGTGTGTGTGTCAGACCACACTCAGGTGTTGCTCAAGGACTGTTCCTTGCTTTGTATTCAGGAGTGACTCCTGTGGTGCTTGGGATCCATACATAATGTCAGATTAGATGGATGCAAGGGCAAGCCCCTAACCCACTGTACTCTCTCTTTGGCCTTAGTTTGCCTTCTTAATATTATAATGATTAATTTAAAACCAGTATGAGGAAGAGAATTTAGCATATGACCTTGTTGGTATTAGTGCTACAACCAGGTTGAGAACCCCTTAAATGGGCTCTTCAGTCCTAGTCTAGTACTATTGCAGTGCCTCAGTTGATAATACCTACCTCAGAGGACGTGGACAGACACAGCAAGGGTTCAACCCCTGGATTCCACATCATGGAAGAGTGTTGGGTTTTATAGCACTGCAGCATCTAGGGCTATTCAGCAAGGTTTTCTTTAGTAATTTTATTACTTAAATTCAGAGTCTAAAGTTTATGCACTTTGTGGACGGAGAATGGCTGAGACTTTTTAGCTTTCCTCAGACAGCCAAGCAGGAGCAAGGGAGCAAAACTGATTTTGATTAGGGTTATGGAATGGAGTTCTTTCTGTTTGTTTATTTATTAGTGGTAGAAAGTGAATGCAGGCCTTCACACATGCAAGGCACAGTCTTGACCACTGAGTTATGTCCCCAGGAGTTGTTTCTGAAAACAAAACAACACTACAAAATCCTCAGTGGTAGAATACATACCTTGCTTGTGTGATGACTCTTGCTTTGATCCCTGGCACCAGATCACCAAACCAAAACCAGGTTTAATTTTCTTTTTCTCAAGTGATTTTCTTTTTCTTCTTTTTTCCTTTTATTTATTTATTTATTTTTTATTAGTGAAACACCATGAGGTACAGTTGTAGACTTAAAAATTTTTGTGCTTGGGTTTCAGTTATACAATGATCAAGTACCCATCCCTCCACCAGTGCCCATTCTCCACCCCCACCAATCCCAGTATCCCTCCTACCCCCTCAAGTGATTTTCAAAGAATTTAGGTAAATTGTAGACATAACCAAATTAGAAGACCTTTAGAACCTTCAGTTTCCTCACCGAGTTTCTACTCAGTGTATTGGAGGCATATCTTTTATAATAGCAAATAAGTTATACACCCCCCTCTTACTTTCTTTTTCTTCTTGGTTTTGGGATATACCTAACAAGAGTACAGGATTTACTGCTAGCTGTGTGCTCAGGGATCATTCGTGGTAGTTTGGGGGACTGTATGGGATGCTAGTCATCAGACTGGCAGAAGCATGCAAGTCAAATGCCCTACCTGCTGTACTATTACTCCGGTTTTTCCAAATGAGTTCTTTTATTCAGGATGAGTATTTTTAAAATTTATAAGAAAGGCCTAACATTTTTGACAAGCAACAACACAGAGCTTTGGATTAATTGGAAAGTTGCTTTCTGTGGTGAATAAGGTTGTACGTGACTCTCAGATATAGACTGGATGATAATGCTTTGTAGATTGAGCTGGTGCTTGTGGCTGGCAGTGTTAGGAGAAATCTGAGTTACGGTGTGAAGTTACATGAATAAAGGATGACCTCCCCCTGCTAAATTATACACTTCCAGATAAAAGGGTTGATTATAGAGAAGTATCTTTTAAGGGGCCCTTTTTTGTGTGTTCAAGGACAAAAATTCATTTCCTTTTTCAGCTTAAAGATCTTAAATCTGTGTGCTTTTGTTTTCAAGCCCTAGAGAACTAGAGCTTGAAATTTTAGTTATTTGAATAGTATGTTCTTGATATTTTCCCTCAGATCTGTTGACTGAATATATTGGTTACCTAATGTTAGATAAACTAAAGATTTTAAAAACTTGACTGTTTTTAAAAGAAACCTACTGTAACAACATATACAGAATGCTAATATAATTTGCATGAAGAGAAAGTAACTGAAGACACAGCGTAAAGAAAGTGGTATACAACACCCAAAAGGAGAGAGAGAACACAGGGGATTGCCCTGCCACAGAGACGGGGGGATGGGGGGATGGGGGTGGGAGGGATATTATCCATGGTGGTGGAAAATGGGCACTGGTGGAGGGATGTGTATCTGATCATTGTATAATTGAAACCAAAGCACAAAAAATTGTAAATCTACAACTTTAAAAAAAATAAAATAAAATAAAGGGGGAAAAAAAAAAAAAAAAAAGAAAGTGGTATAATAAAAATTTAGCTAGATCCTGTGCATATCAGTTGGTAGGTCCTGAGCCTACATTTTCTTTGTAAATTAGTGCTAACCAAAGTTAAAAACATATTGAAGCCATGCTAAGATTCTTTAAGTCTCATTCTAAGAATGATTTCTATGTTAATCCATTAATACTATTATGCATAAAGTTACCTGTTTGATAATGGTGTCCCATGTTTCCAAATTCCTACGCAAATATTAATCTATTTTAGACAGACACATTTCACAGTAATTTTCTTGAGGTTACTGCTGGGTTTTCGATTAAGAGTAGAAATAACCAGACTTTCTAATAGGCAATGGTGAGGATGTGATCACTGAGTTTTTTAAAATTATTATTATTAATTATTATTTTTATTGAATCACCATGAGCAACACTTACAAAGCTTTCATGTTTGAGTTTCAGTTGTACAATGATTGAACATCTGTCCCTCCACCAGTGTACATTTTTCACCACCAGTGTCCCCAGTATCCCCCCATCCCACCCCTTCCCTTGCCTCTATGGCAGACAGTTTCCTTCTTACTCTTGCTCTTCTTTTGGGCATTATGTTTTGCAATAAAGATATTGAGAGGCCATCATGTTTGGTCCTTTATCTACTTTCAGCACACCTCTCCCATCCCAATTAATTCCTTTAAACATCATTGACTTAGTGATCCCTTCTCTATCCCAGCTGCCTTCTTCCCCAGCTCATAAGGCAGGTTACCAACCATGGAGCAATCATCCTGGCCCTATCTCTACTGCCCTTGGGTGTTACTCTCATATTATGACATTTTATATTCCACAGATGAGTTGAGTCATTCTATGTCTGTCCCTCTCTTTCTGACTCTTTTCACTTAGCGTGATACTCTTCATGACCATGCACTTACAAGCAAATTTCATGACGTCTTTTTTCCTAACAGCTGCATAGTATTCTATTGTGTAGATTTTAAAGTTTCTTTAACCAGTCATCTGTTCTTGTGCACTTGGGTTGTTTTCAGATTGTGGCTATTGTGAACAGTGCTGCAATGAATGAACAAGTGCAGGTGTCATTTCTTCTGTTCTTTTTTTACACTCTCAGGATATATTCCCAGAAGTGGTATTGCTGGGTTAAATGGGAGCTCAGTTTCTAGTTTTTTTGAGAAACATCCATATTGTTTTCCAAAAGACTGGACCAGTCAGCATTTCCACCACCAGTGAAGGAGAATCCCTTTCCCCCACATTTTCAGGACTCCTTACGGTAAAGTCAGGGATTTTACATTCAATAGGAGAACATTAGTTTGTATGAACTATTTACAAGCATTTATAAACAAGGTTTCTGATAGTTTTCAAATAACTAACAAGTGGGTGCTTTTTTTTCTACTACAGGTGCAGGTTATCATTCTGAATCCAAAGCCAAGGAGTATAAACATGTGTGCAAACGAGCTTGTCAGAAGGTATGCACTGAATGCACATGATCGAAACATTTCTCCCAGAAAGCAGTTTATCTTGAAATTCAAAGGTTTAAGATTTGTTTCATGCTGTGACATTTGGTTTGGGCCACAGAATTTTTTTCCTCATTGTTGTGGAAAAATTTGTTTTGTTTTACTTTGTGTATTTTGCTTTTCAAATGATGCTTAAGTCTCCCCCCCTTCCAGATTTAAGTATGTAGTTTTGAAATTGTGAACACAATCATGTATCTTTTAATTTTTGCAAAGTCCTTGAACTCAATAAAATGGAGAGGGAAAAAATCTCAAAGGCAACCAATATCTTCCTGTGAAGAAAAATATAATAAAGTTAAAATGGGTTCTTAGGCAGATTATTCTGTACTGTTTCCTTCTGTTTTTCATCATATAATTTGTATCATAGCAACTTCATTGTCATTTCTGAGTTTAACTTTATCCTTACATGCATTTGTGATTTTCTTTATTTTTGGATTTTGAGGTTTTGTTAAATTGTTGAATAACTAACATGGTGGCAGAAATGGGGTCTGAACAAGTATTGTTTGTTTTAATTTTGATCCTATGTACTCTTGTAACAAGTCTTTCATTACATTTTATAAAAATAGATGCTAATTGGATATTGTATATCTAGTACATATGGACCTCTGTCCATTCTTTTATATTTCCATACCATTTATAAGAATTATGCTTTATTAGAGATCCAGACTCTTTCTTACAAATGAAATTCTATAGATAAATAAGAATATTTTGTTGTAGGGGTTTTGTTGTTTTCTTTTTGATATTTGAGTCATTTTAATATTCTAGTGCTATGCATAACATTAGCAATATTCATTGAAACCTATTACTGAAGCTGAAAATGTAATATAACAATATAATATAAAATAAAAAGTATTTGTCAATTTACTATAATAAATTTCTCCGAATAAAGTCTTATTAAGCTATTATAATGATTCTCTATTATATTTCTAACATTTCTATGTGCTTTTAACAAAATTAAAGTCTAATGTTACATAAGTGTTTATTTATTTGTTTATTTTTGCTTTTTTTTTCACACCCAAATACTTAGAGGTTACTCCTAGCTCTGCACTCAGGAATCTCTCCTGGCGGTGCTCATGGAACCATATGGGATGTCAGGGATTGAACCTTTGTTGGCAACATGTAAAGCAAACACCCTGCCCTCTTTAGTATCACCCTAGCCCCTACATAAATGTTTAGTGATTAAAAAATAAAATGGTTTAATAATAGTAGTAATCAGCATTCATACCTCAGTGATAATATTGTGATAAAAATTTAGGATTTTGTTTTAAGAAAATTATACTGTTCTTTAAGCTATTTTAAACTGTTTAAGAGAAATACTTACTTTTATGGAGTCCTTGAAATCCAGGGCATTTAAAGTATCAGTCCTTGCAGTTTATACAGTAAATGAACTATTTAAACATTTAAAGAGGAATACAGGTGTTAGTTTTTGAGTTTGTTGTTGTTTGCTAGGTTGGAGTTTTTTTTTTAAGTTGGGGATTCAGTAGTTGACTTAAAAACCACTTTCCCTGCAAGCCAATAATAAATCAGAATTCCCAAAGTGGGAAATGAATTCATCTGCTTTTTTCTCTTAATTTGTACCAAGGAAGCAATATTACTTTATAGACCTTTAGTTCTTTAGTTTATAATATAATGGAATCATTTGTTAATCTAAGTTATACCTAGACATGATACTATCAAAAATGCTTTTTAAAAAAAGTGCTTTTTAAAAGAATAAATACAGATGGCCAGAAGGCACATGAAAAAATGCTCTGTACCAATAATCATCAGGGAGATGCAAATTAAAACAACAATGAGATATCATCTCACACTACAAGACTGGCCCACATCAAACAGAAAGAGAGGAGAGTGCTGGCACGGATACAGGGAGAAAGGGACTCTTACTGATTGTTGGTGGGAATGTCAACTTACAAAAAGTCCAGTCCTTTTGGAAAACAATATGGATATTCCTCAAAAAACTAGAAATCGAGCTTTCATACGACTCAGCAATACCACTTATGGGAATAAACCCCAGGACTCCCAAAACATACTGTAGAAGAACTACCTGCATCTTTATCTTCATTACAGCACTATTCACAATAGCTAGAATCTGGAGCCAGCCAGAGTGGCTGAGAACAGATGACTGGATAAAGAAACTGTGGTACATTTACACAGTGGAATACTATGCAGCCACCAGGAAAAAATAAAGCTGTGAAATTTGCTTATAAATGGATGGACATGGAGAGTATCGTACTGAGTGAAATGAATCAGAAGGAGAGGGACAGACATAGAATGATTACACTCATTTTTGGGATATAAAAAAGATGTATGAGACTAAATACTTAAAGGACAGTAGAAAAAATGATACAGGAATATTGGCCTGTGGTTGGAAGCTAGTTGCAAGTGATGGAGGTGGGAGGGCAGTTAGGATAGAGAAGTTCACTATGACTGATAGTTGGAAATGATCACTCTGGACAAGAACTGAGTGTTGAAAGTAGGTAAAGGGATAAACACAATAACCTTTCAGTACCTGTATTGCAAATCATAATGCCCAAAAGGAAAGGGAGAAAGAGAGAGAGAGAAAGAAAATGCCTGCCACAGAGGCAGACTAGGTAGGAGGGAAACTGGGCATGTTGTTGGTGGGAAAGGTAGGCTGGTGAAGGAAAGGATGTTGGAACATTGTATGACTGAAATCCATGCAACTTTGTAAACCTGTGAACAACTTTGTAACTGTGTATCTCACAGCAGCGATTCAGTTAAAAAAAAAGTGCTTTTATCTAAGGGTTCTGAAATAACACTGTGACTTAGAGTCACTGATTTTTATAATTATAGTAACTGGAGATAAATATTCAATATTCAATTACCAATTACCTTTTTGAAATATAGATTGTCAGACTATTTATACCAGATTGCATTTTTATAACATCAACAGCTCTTTTAAATTGTCCTATGATGATGAAGCTGTTTCACCTAATACATTCCTTGCATGTTGAAGTTAGTAACTAGATATTATTCAGTTTTATTTAAAAAAAAATTAACTGAGCTATACCAGAAGTTATCCTTGCATCATTTTATTTTATTTTTTATTTATCTTTTATTTTAAGGGTAGATGCAGATTATTAAGGATTCAAAACAGCTGTTTACATCTTCTTTCTCCTCTTTTTTTTAAACTTTTTATTAGTGAGACACCATGAGGTCCTTGCATCATTTTAAACATAAAATTATACACTTACTTATTTGAAACAAGTTTCAAAATTTTATTTTAAAGTATGGAATGAAAGATCAGTTTCCTATTTCTTTTTTGATTTTTGGGCCATACTTTTTGGAGCTTTTCCTGACTTTGTGCTTGGGGATTACTCTTGGCAGTGCTTACGGGACCACGCAGTTCTAGGGATCAAACTCAGGCCTTCTGCATGCAAAGCATGTACTCAGAACTTGAGCTATTTTATTTTCCTAAAGAGCAATTTTTATTAACTCTGAGTGTCACTGACACTTTAAATCTTTGGGAAATTAATGGTATGTTTGAAAACTTGTAGTTTTTCAATGAATAATCTTCCTTGATTTCATAGGCAATTGAAAAGCTACAGGCTGGTGCTCTTGCGACAGATGCTGTGACTGCAGCTTTGGTGGAGCTTGAGGTATTTCTTTTCTTTGTTTATGCTATAGTTTAAAATATATATATATATATTTAAAAATATATATATAACCTTACAATATATATAAATTTATATATATTTGCATTTCTGTTCACTGTTCTTTAATGACATGAACTGGTTGAGTTAACCATTAGTTATATGATCCATGTGAACAAACTTATGCAGATGACAATGTTATTGTTAGGTCATTTTCACTGTAGACCTCTCTGAGCAATATAAAAATTGCTTTATTTATCTCCCCCAATTGTTTCGTTAGATTGATGACTACAAATATTCTTGGTGATTGGAAACCTACATTTTCTCAGTATTCCTGAAGTCATCACTTCCCCCAAAGTAATATATTTTCCTAACAGATATGTTTCCTGGAGCGATTCTCTCTCAAACGTGCCTTGTCCATTGTGATTGTTAGGTTGGTCTACAATTGGCTGCAGACATTGAGAAATTGAGAGAAAAGACTGTTTGCTGTAATATCTTTGTACTCCAGAGTAAAGATCTCTGGGGACTCTCAATCAAGAACCTTGAGAATATGTTTGATGCCTTGAGACTTTTGCTGCACAAAATTAAAGATGGGTTTATATTAGTCAGATTAAAAGATATTTGTATTTGTGTGTGTGGAGCAAGGTAATTTTTTTTTTTTTAAATTTGTTTAGAAAGATGTGAAGGGAGAAAAAGAGAGAAGTACCTGTTTGAGAGAGAACACAGGCTTCTCCAGAATGGAAATGAGATACTTGTGCAAGGGAGAACATGGACTTGAAGAACAAGGCATATTTGTAATTATGTTAATATCCTCTGAACAGGCTAGTAGATGACTAGCTGAGATGACTCTTGGGGAATCCTGATGTGAGGCTAACATACATTAGAACTCGAGGGAGGAGTTGATAGAATAGAACTTCCTAAAATTCACTGACTGTGGCTCTTACAGTTTTGTTCTTGTGTCATGGCTTCTCCACTTAGTTATGCAAATCCTTGCTTTTCTCTGTGAAAATTGCCCAGGCATTTCTTTAAAAGCCTAGTCATGTCTTTTTGTGTAATTCTGCTGCAGTTCTGATCATGCATTATAGATTGAAACCATACCTGTTGCCTTCAACTTGATCCTCGTGTTGTCAGGGAAGGTGAACATACACGGTGGGCGCCAGTTATATTGTAGTTTGATTCTTTTTTTTTGGGATGACGGTGGCACACATGTGATGCTCAAGGCTTACTCTTGGCTCTGAATTCAGGGATCACTCCTTGTGGGGCCTGTGAAACCGTATTGGGTGCCAGGGATCAAATGTGCAAGGCAACTGCCATACCTGCTACACTGTCCCTTTTGAGGCTTCAGATGTGGATATATGCTCCCCTTTTATTGTGACGATTACATCTTATACTTGTTTAATACCTCTGTGTGTCTCAGGGTACTTCACAACCACTTGTTGGCTTAGTCTTCTTGTTTATATGGAAATAATCATTCCTATTTCATACATTGTGATGATTAGTTGTGCTTTTTTCATATGAGAATTTCTTAGAGCAGTATGTGAAAGATAGTAACTATCCCTAATTGTTAGAAAATATTAGTACTATGAGGTCCTTTGGAGATCATGTGTATTACAAAAATATTAATGGCATAATGATAACTTATAATATTAATTATATATTGTGGGTTACAGAAGAAAGCTGATAAAAGAAGAGACTAATGAATATACTTACCACTCAGTTTTACCATTACTCAAGCGCGCTTACATAAGAAACTTCATAGAGCTTACTTCTGTTAACTGGCAATCACTGTCCTTTATGTAGAAGATGTTATTGTGAGGTTACCAATGTGTGGTATCAGTGTGGGTTTGGGGAACGAAGGTAAATGAGTAGCTGGGGGATATGGCAACTATGAATACAAAATAAAGTAAGCTTTGTTCTTTCATCTCAAAATATTTCTTTCTAGTCATTTTTTACCTTGTGTATTTAATTATGTATTTTTCCCAGATGAATTAATCCTACTTTAAATATTGATCTGTATACTTAAAATTTATTGAAAATACATTTTATAATAATAAATTATACATGAGTAAGCAAACTTTATAGTTTTAAATGGTAATCTGAGTTTTTTAAGAGTGTGGATATATGAAATAGCTTTTATTCTTTTAAATCACTGAACATTTTTTTTTTTTCTGTGTGTATTCTAGGGATCAAACCTAGGGCATCACACATACAAAGTGAGGCTCTTACACTGACCTATATGAAGTATTGTTGTTTTTTTCTTTGCTTTTTAGGTTACACCTGGCGATGCACAGGGGTTACTCCTGGCTTTGCAGTCAGGAATTACCCCTGGCAGTGCTCAGGGGACCATATGGGATGCTGGGAATTGAACCCGGGTTGGCTGCATGCAAGGCAAATTTCCTACCCGCTGTGCTATCACTCCAGCCCCTATGAAGTGGTTTTTAAACGAACTAGATGGCTCTGTGTGCAATGTAGTGCATTGGATTTCTAAACAAATTTGTTTAATTTTTGGATCACATCTAGCAGTTCTCAGGGCTTACTCCTGGATTGGCACTCAGGAATCACTTCTGGTGAGACTTGGGGGACCATATACAGTTGGATGAAGTTGGTTCTGCTGCATGCAAGCAAAGTGCCTTACCCATTGTACTATTTCTAGCTCCCCCTTTTTTTGGGGGGGGGGGAGATAATGTTATGTAGGAAATAGCATTGGATAATGTGAGTGAGTTCCCTTTTTTTTTACTAAGTCTCGGTAAGAATTTCAGTTATTAAGAATTATTTTTTATGTAGAGTCTGAAATCTGTTTTAGTAGTTTAAAGACTCAGGTACATTATCTGGAAGGATTTTCCTGAATCTTTGTTCTAAGTTATGTTTACACTGCCTCTCCATTTTCAGTTGACTTGTGTGGTTGTGAATCATTGCCTTTCAGGGAAGGTAGAAAACAGTACCCTTACTACTGCAAGGCTTTCAAATGGTGTTTTGCTCAAGTATTATAGTAGTTTGAGCCAATGGAAAGATATAAGAAAACCAGAATATTATATTCTCTGTGCTAAGTAAGTAACAATATTATACTCTTTTAGCCTACTAAAAATTTTAGAGTCTGATTTATTCTGTTATATTTAATTTTATAACATCTGTATTTAATTTGGATCAGTCTTTCTTTCAAGTTGAGCTAACTCTTATCCTTTTTATTGTATAGATATAGACAGTAATACCTTTGTATTTTGATTTTTAAAAAATGTGTACTTAAAAACAACCATCCGTTTAAAATTTGCCCGTTATATTATTTCATAGAAAGATAAAATTGGTTTGAATTCCTTGAACACTTTATTAACTGTGAACTGAAATCTATCCTTTCCCCCAACCCCCACACCTGTGCTGTGTGGTTCCTTCTGTATGGGACTCGAGGGTCAATCCTGCAGATACTAAGGGTACCAGGTTGTATTAAGGACTGAATACTGGGGCACTCATATGCAAAGCATACACTTCAGACAATTTTAATGTCCTTAACTGGCTGGAAGAGGTGCCTGACTTTTTATTTTAAAAAGTATGTGCATTTTCACTTATTTTAAATATTGAAAGAAACAGAGATCTTAACTTTATACCAAGAGAAGGAAGAGACATGGTGAAAGGGAAGGTAGAAAACAGTACCCTTACTACTGTAAGCCATATATTTATATACACATACATTGTGTGATAATATACACATAGCACTCATGCAGACCACAAATACACTTACATTTCTTCAGTTTTTTTTCTTGGGAACCAATCACTTTGTACTGTTGCATTATTCTTGTTTTCCAGACAAATGATGAGTGATATTATTGGAAGGCTTCACTTCTGTGCACAAGCAGGGGTATTTATGAAAAAAAAAGCAGGGGACATTTCCTTCACTTCGATGATGTGGAGTCTGAGTGCATAAGCTACTGCTTCTTAAACTGATCTGCCCCTCCCTTCAGGGTCTTGGGAGGGTAGGTCACCATTTAAGTGTTCTGCTCTTGTAAATAATAATGATAAGACTCCAAAGTGCAGCTTGTTTATCTCCAAAATGATGGGGAGAAAGATAGAGCTACTTATACAATATACTTTAATAATTTATTTTTAAATATTGATTTGGTCTCATTGCTTCATTAGGTATTTATAGCTTTTTATCATAGCTGAGATTATAAGTGTTGGGAAAGCATCTTCTATTTATTGGGTAACTGATTTTACTTACGTAAAGAAGATAAATGTTGGGAAGCAGTTTGATCTGTACTCCTGGGGCTATAAGGTTATTAGACAGTTTATTTTATCACTTTTTTTGAAATAATTTTGGTCTGAGTAGTGATTGTGATTGCAGATTTTCATTCGAGACCATATTGTCTGCATTGCACTTAGGATAGTCCTGGTATGAATTTTTTATAGGATATTGCATATAAATCTAGGTGAGTCAGGATGCCATTGCTAAACTACAATGTGTTTCAGGAATTCTGATAGAAAATGAACTAATTATGAAAGAGTTGTTAACACTCCTTTCATACGTTGGTATTTAAGAAAAATATGAGACCTGGTTTACAAATTATCTAATGAGAATGATAGGTACAGTATGAATAATAGACATTTTAGGGGTTATTGTGTAGTGCTGAGAGAATTGATTAATTTTAAAGATTTTGCTGAGATTCAAATTTTTTTTTAGATTTTGGTCTTTTAAAAACTGGTTGTTTGCCACCAGCAGGTCAGTCTGTACCTGTGAGGTGAGTCCATCAGCAGCCTGATGGCGCCTTCAGACTTTCAGATACCCCAAAATTGCTGCTGTGCCTTTGGCCAGATCCCAAAAACTTGGGGCAAAGTTTACCAAGAAAATAAACAGCCAAAAGTTAGATATGTGGGAAACACACCCACAAACCACCTCCGGCTCAGCTATATAATTGGAGGCATAGCCTCTTTGGTTCCTGATTAAACTGCTTAATGGCCATGATCCCAGAGACTCAGAAAGAAATCTCGAAACCCAGTGGCTTTGGGCAGAAATGCGT